GGTCTTTTCTGTGCTGTAAACTGCATGGATGAAATGCAGTTCATCAGTGTCAACCCTTCTACTCAACGATTCTTGGACGAACAAGGCAGAGAAAGGTTCTTTCACGGCACTAACATAGTTGTCAAACACTTCCCTTGGCATCCAAAGCTGGAAGRATTTGCACCAGATACGTTTTCTGAACAAGACATGGAGCTGATGCAGTCGCTTGGACTGAACGTGGTTCGTTTAGGCTTCATGTGGCCAGGTGTTGAACCTACACGAGGTCATTACAATAAAACGTATCTTCAGATTGTAGAGAAGATGGTGAATATGTCAGCAAAGTACGGCATCTACATCTTACTAGACATGCACCAGGATGTTATGTCGAGGAAGTTCTGTGTGGAGGGTTTTCCAGACTGGGCTGCCAATCCAGGAAATGCAAAGAACTTTCCAGAACCACTGCATGCTCCGTTTGCTTTGGACCCTAAAACTAACTATCCAACCGATGAGGATTGTGCAAAGTTCTCCTGGGCATCGTATTACATGTCAGAAGCTGCAAGTGCTGCATTCCAGAACTTGTACAACAATACCGATGGATTGCGTGACAGTTGGGCAGCTTTCTGGGCCAAAGGAGCTGAAACTTTTCGAGACTATCCGAGTGTTATAGGCTACGAACTGATTAACGAGCCATGGTCAGGAGACATCTATGCTGACCCACTTTTGATGATACCTAGGGTTGCAGACCGAATGAACTTAGCACCCGCTTATGAGGTTTTGAGTAAAGCCATTCGCGCCAAGGATGACAGACATTGTATATTTTTTGAACCWGTGACGTGGGATGATTATGGAGTAGGATTCGAAGAAGTACCCGGTGGCCCAGAGTATAAAAACAGAAGCGTTCTTAGCTATCATTATTATCATCTACCCCTGGGACCTTCTGGCCCAGTTGAGATAAACTTCCTAGTGCGAGAACATGACTTGAAGAGATTGAARTGTGGAGGAATGTTGACGGAATTCCAGACATCTGGTGGGAAACTAGAAAGCGCTTTAAAGACTATGTCAGTTGCAGACAAACATCTGCAGTCTTGGACAGGCTATGATTACAAGCCATACTATCCACCCAATCGAACTGTTCCTAACAAGAGACCAAGTCTGTGGACTGAAGATGGACCTATCTACGCGCAGAACACATCCCGTACCTACCCTCAGGCAGTAGCAGGGCACGCAGAGAGTTTCAGCTTTGATCCAACTACTAAAGAGTTTCACTTGAGTTATGTGATTAGCAGCGAGTGTACATCCAACAAGACAGAGATCTACTTTAATCACGATCAGTACATGTCAGTTGGTGGGGGTTTCTTGGTGTCCATCAGTCCTGAAGGATCTGCCAAATGGTCCAATCCTTCCAAGAATAGGATCATCATCGAGAATATTGCAACGAGTGGAACGATCGAGGTGCAAATTACACCCGGCCATTAATGTATAGTTTGTGAATAAATCTGCAAACCAAAAGTTACTCATTTGATCTTGATATATTTGGGGTTGGCATAGCAGAAAGCTAACAAAAAGAAAAACMTTTTTATTGCGCAATATTTTGATTCACAATTAAAATTTTCTTGAAATCTTGTCGTAATAAAATATCGTATGGAATTTATTAAATATTGAGATATATTTTGTAAAACATATAGTTAATGTTTTGGATTTAAAATTTTGCTCACAGAAATTATATTTCTGTCGTCTAAATGGGCATTAGGATAGAAAGATATTAGTTGCAGTGAAATGTCGTAAGCCGGCAGCGCATTTGWATCAACATGGTATAGAAGATTTTTAACATATCTGAGATATGAAACTGCTGCATGGTGTGTTCCAAACTAGCTGATCCGAAAAAAATGTTAACCAGTCAGAATCGAGAAAATTTGCAAAACTAAGGTGTCACAACTAAGGTTGCTAATAAGAGGTTGATAACAGAAACTGGCAATAACCGAATGAGTTTTATATTAGTTTTGCAATGGTGGATAGGTTTTCATTTTTTGCTTTCACATTCTTCATGACACCTAAGTTTTGCAGTGACGTAATTTTTCTTCCCTCGTGCTTCCGAGCTGCCTGCATAACAGAAACTAGGGAGCGTTTTCGTAATTTTAAAGTTGAAAATGTTGTTTTGTCTATGGTTTACTAGTATAAGAAAGTGTATAAACAAGTGATTTTCTCTGATGCTGCATGTACGTGTTGATTGTATTTCAACTCTTCCGAGGCTCCAGGCGATGGGATAGCTGTGTTAAATTCCTTTGATTGTCGTTAACACGTAACGTCCTAAAAGAAACAGGTAAGGTTAGGCAATTCAACTTATGGCAGGGAAGGCGGAGCACTTTTCAAAGTCAGTTGGGGGGGTGGCTAAAAAGTTATTATTCAAAGAATCGGAAGGGGGCTAATCTCTAACTTTTTTATGGGACTCTCACTCTGGGAAAATATTAGCCACCCATATGTGGCCATTTCAGCGAGACCTGTTAGGCTCGGAAGGCACACGCATCTATATCGAATACTAGAATCTAAAAATGTCCAACATTGTCTAGTATAACATTGTCTAGTATAACAGTGCATGTAACAGTGATGTTCCACTAAACTAACAAACATTCYTTACCTGACGTATGTTACAATTTCATTGACATTCTTGATGGAAGGTGGAGCTTCTCCTACTGCGGAAGAATGAATAACCAGGAATTTAAACAACAGGACGTTATTATGTTTAACCTGCACACATCTTGTTTCAAAACTACATTTCTTCTTGATTTTCACTAGTTGTTTTAATGCATCATCATTAAGTTCATAAGTTCATAAGTTCATTATCATCATCATCGTCATCACATCATATRCCATCATCGTCATAATCGTCATCGTTATCGTTGTTATCATAATCATAATCAACACCATCTTACCAAAAGGTTTGCTTCTGCAGTACTCAATCAGGTGTAACGTAGAGGTGATCATCCGCTGTTGATAAGACAACATCGTTAGCAAAAAGCTGAGCCTTAAATATGATCTTCATAGGCGGCGTTGATCATTAAAAGTGCAACTACCGGGGTCACTTAAACAGCGAGAACCAATTAAATTTTAGAATAAAATCAATACATTCCGACTTTAGGTAGAGGAGCCAATCAGAAACCTAGCTTTCGGATTGACTCCACTACTCAAAGTTTGAATGTATTCTTTTTATTCTACAATTTGATTGGTTCGCTGTTTAAGTGGCCCCAGTTATTAGTAGTCTTACTATAATTGTCTAGGCATACGGTTTACTTACAAGTTTCTCGAAGTTTACAAGGTCATCAAAGTAAGTTTTATTGCCTTCATTGATGAACGTAATGTCTACAACAAATATGGAACAAATAACGAAGCTAACCAATACACTAAATACAGGAAGTAGAATGTGACGAAAGCATGAAAGAAGCACGAGGAGTGGCATGCGAACTAGCCGTGTGGACAAGGAAGAAATAAAAAACTTGCGCGCGCGTTGTATGCGTTGTGTTGTGTGCAGTTATAAAGCACGTGGCGGGTGTTGGCAGAACACGAGAGAAGTGTTAGGAGAAGCACGACGCGTAGCGAGTGCTTCTCGACACTTCTTGCAATCCCCATGTAATTTATAACTACACACAACACAGCAAGCAAGTTTTTCTTTCTTTAATAAAATACAAATATACAGTAAACGTTATTTTGGATGTAAATGGCGCAACTGAAATGGCGCGCCCGTGCTATGTGCTCTCATAAAGCACGTGCTCCCGACCAATCAGAACGCGAGATTTATAACAGCTATTTTGTGATGTTATTTTTTGCACTTCTTTACAAAGCAAGCTGCACCTGCAAATGACATCAGGACCGTGCTCCGTTCACTGACTCAGTTGCAACACATGTAAACTCTAGATCTTCTCCAGAAATAAAACAAGCCAGCATCATCCTTAGAGCGCTTTCCGTGTCCCTCTTTCCAAGAAAAACCAAGACATGGTACATTTTTTCCGGGAAGGGTTTATCCCTACCCGGGAGCCCGGGTAGGTCATGGGCACACAAAGGTCATTGCACCGTAGCGACTTAATGCATTGGTTTACCTTTCATAAGTAGAGCCATGAATGGTATGATTGGTGGTTTCATCTTTCCTGTTGAAGAGTGAACACAATTTGAATAGAGAGCACCAGATCCAAACTACTAGCGTCAAGTATATCTAAAGATGTTTGACGGACAGTGTGCAGCTTTGCTTCAAGCGGGAAGCACGAGTGGCGTCGGTAGTGGTGAGAGCGCTCGCCTCTCACCAATGTGACCCGGGTTCGATTCTAAGACTCGTTGTCATATGTGAGGAAAGTTGTTTGTTGGTTCTCTCTTGTGCTTCGAGGGTTTTTCTCCAGTTTTCCTTACTCCACAAAAATCTATTTATAAATTCCAATTCGATCATTGAACGAAGGCCACAGGTTTGTTAGTTACTAGTTATTATTAAGTGCCACCCTCATAAAAGAAAAAGCTTTCGATGATGTTTGTCTTACCTATTGCTAGTCTATAAACGCGGTGATTCCTAGAAGGATCCTGGGAAATACAAAATATGTTATTAGTTTCATCATAGACATCATCATCCTCATCATCCTCATAATCATCATCCTCGTCTCATAATCATCATCACCATCATCATCATCATCATCTCATGATTATCCGAACATCACTATCATCTCATTATCATAATCATTGTCATCATCACAATCACCATCATCACCATCACTACCATCTCATTATCATAATCATTGTCATCATCATCATCATCATATCATTATCGTCATCATCATCGTCATCATCATCATCCTCTCATAATACTGAATCATCTCCATCACCATCATCACCATCACTATCATCTCATCATTATTATGTCATCGCCATCGTCTCCATCCATTTCGAGGAATATAAGCGGGTTTTTTTYCCCGGTTTACGGTTTTTCTCCGCCTAAACCATAATTCGATATCTTAGTTAGCTGTGCTCTGACCTAGATCAGCCCAGATGGAATTCGAAGTTGTTTCATGTTTCAATAAATTCATTTTGTGTGTTGAAGTGCAGATAGTTAAACCTACCAGTGATGCTTCGAATTCCTCGAACATTTTCTTGAATTTGCTTGGTAGTTTCTAAAAAAAAAGAAAAAGCATAGTTTGCAGTTCATTTATCACCATCAACCAAAACTGAGCAATACATAGAGGATATTACACGGTGGCGCGAAGATATAGAGTTTATCTTCGAGTGGTGAAAATATTTCACGAGGAGCGCCGCGAGRGAGTGAAATATTTTTCGTCACGAAAAGATAAACTTCATATCTTCAAGCAAACCTATTCCTCTTTATTATGTAGACACATTTACAAACAAAAACTGGTTGAAACATTGGAAAAGGCGTCATCGATATCTTCACTAGGATATGGAAAACATGTCAGTGAGATCCCGGATGTAGTTCGTATAAAAAATACGAGTGGCGTATTTCCAGTAAAATGTCCCAGTAAGACATTAATGTCTATATATATCTACGTCTATGTAATAAGTTAATCACCATCATCAATAAAACTTACCTCCCAAGTCTGTGATAACCTGCTGACTGCTACATTGTTTAACCCCATAATTATAGCGAAAAATGAGTTCCAATTTCGATATTCTTTGCAGCTGGAATGGGAAGACAATAGGCAAAATTTCATTTTAAAATGTTAATGACAATTTTCAAAACCCATGGTGTCCATGGGGCAATGGCAATTTATACACCTATTAAAATAAACGTTGTCATCGCGAAAGGCGATAGGTGATAGGTCATTCCGAGACGGAAATAGTTTCATTTAATACAAAGAACATTGAATAGTCTCAACACTAAGGTCCATGTTCTAGACGAGAATAAGAAGCAGAAACGCAACTCATTCCAGCTATTCTTGGATCTTGGAATGACCTATCCCCTATCGCTTTTCGCCTAGCGACTATCGATCGCCTTTGGCGATGACAACGTTTATGTTGAAATAGGGGTATATATTAGAGAGTTTTAGATTGACTTTTTTTTCTCTCTGCAAACGGCAAACGTGAGCATATTTTCATAGTTTTCCTGTATTTTATTTTTATTTTATTTGCGCAGATATTCTTTTGTATTCTACTACTTGGACTTTTTTGCGATTCTTTTTCAGTAATTTAAAAGACTTTTTTACCGGTCAACTGACGTTTCACGTTTGCCATGAACGTAAATCTAAAACTCTCTAATATGTCGGTTTTCGCTTCAGTGGGAAAAATAAAGCAATTACACTAACCATAGCGTAGCAGCTAGTCATAACCGTACCTAGGCTTCGTGACTATACTTGCGCACAGAATAATAGGAAGCCATATATTGAATCTTACAGCATCATATACCTGGCATAATTGGGTACCTTACGTTTCCCATTCATGCGAAAACTTCTCTACACTAGAATGCAAAAAGGATAAAGGATAATGAGGGCTTATGATTGATTATCTTGATTGGCTTACTGTGTGGCAATTTTGATGAATTTCTTCAACAAATGAACGCGTTTGCTGATCTGGCTTGCGAGACAGATCTCTGTGATGACCCAATAGTGAACCTAGAATAAGATATGATAAAGTTATCAGTAAAAACGTACAGTACCAGAGAATGCTTCCCTACATTCGTTTTCAAAATTAGTTGAGATATTTTCTACTCTTTAAGAAGATCTCCAACTAACTAATTTTAAACTTTTCCCCCTCCTTCCCCTCCCCCCACTCTCCCTC